AGGGGGTTGGACTGGATGGCCCATGAGGTCTCTTCCAACTCTTTGATTCTATGATTCTATGATTCTATGGGAGGAGGCCACTTTATACCGGCAGCACTTAAACTTTTCAAAGCTAAACCAATCACTCAAATGCTGTATGGAACCCAGCTTGGCCCCTTTTCAAATTATGCCCCACTAGAGTGTGTTCAATCAATTTTCCTAAGAGCAGCTCTAAAGGCTCCCAGAGGTGTCTCTAACACCAGCCTGGGATTGGAGACAGGTTTTGTGAAAGTGGAGGTGAGAGTACTGGTTACACCTGTCCTTCTCCCCACATTTTCTTGACCCTCTAACCATGAGGGATGACTTCCAGTCCACATGGACTAAAACAGTGGCAGTAAAGATCGCAATACTAGTTTCTCCCAAGGACAATTGCTAAGCATAAGATGAGACTAAGCCAAGGACCTCATTAAGCAACAGATCCTGGACATAGAGGGCGAATTGGACCTAGCCTGCTCCCCAGCCTTTATTGTTAGTGAAGCCAATAGATACCTCACCACCCCCATGGCATACCTGGAGGTGCCCAAACACTGAAGGACTTTTACCCTGTCAAGATGCTATGCCCTCCCATCAGCTATATTGGAGAGGTATCATAACACCCCTATCAAGGAGAGATTATGTCCATGTGAGTCCAGACATCTAGAAACAACTGAACATGTGCTTCTTAAATGCATGTTCTACAGAGACCTTAGAACTAATCACATTACATGGTTCTGGCCCTATTTACCTCTCCGAACGCATCTCCTCCTATGAACTGACTAGGACACTAAGATCATCTGGGGAGGCCCTGCTCTCTGTCCCGCCTGCATCACAGGCGTGCTTGGCAGGGAACAGAGACAGGGCCTTCTCAGTGGTGGCCCCTCGGCTGTGGAACGCCCTGCCTGCAGATATCAGATCGGCCCCCTCCCTGCTGGCGTTTCGGAGGAAAGTGAAGACCTGGCTGTTCGAACAGGCATTTTATTAAACAGTGTAATTGAACATAGGAATACGGAATAATGGATGATGAGACTGGATTCGGATTTTACTGTTGACGCACTAATGATTGTTATTCTGATGTTTAATGATTTATGTTACAATTGTTTTTAATTGCCCTATACTTGTCTTGTGATGTTTTGTATTGATGTTGTTCACCGCTTTGAGTCGCCCGAGGGCTAAGAAAAGCGGTATATAAATAAAGTAAATAAATAAATAAATACACCATAAGGTAAAGGTTGTCCCCTGACATTAAGTCCAGTCATGTCTGACTCTGGGGTGTGGTGCTCATTTCCATTTCTAAGCCGAAGAGCCAGCGTTGTCCGTAGACACCTCCAAGGTCATGTGGTTGGCATGACTGCATGGAGAGCCGTTACCTTCCCGCCGGAGCGGTACCTATTGATCTACTCACATTTGCATGTTTTCGAACTGCTAGGTTGGCAGAAGCTAGGCTGACAGCGGAAGCTCACGCCGCTCCCCGGAATCGAACCTGCGACCTTTCGATCAACAAGCTCAGCAGCTCAGTGCTTTAACCCACTGCGCCACCGGGGGCTCCTTTTTCATCCCTAGTGCACTGAAAAATATGCTTTCTGACTCTAGCATGACAATAACTTACAGTGTTGCTAAGTGTTGTGCTGCAGTGCTTTAATTTAGACAGATGATGGTTGACCCTACAGGGCAACACCCTGTTGGGAATGTATTTTTTACATTACAGCTTAAATTAAAATACTTAATTACTTATTTAATTAAAATATTTAATTTAATTTAATTACTAAATTAAATTAAATTACTTAATTAAATTACAGCATAAATGCTACTAGACTTGTAATGTGCCCCTCCCATCCCTTTTAGTGCCCGCCCCCCCCCCCCCAGTGCTTTGATCTCTCCTATCAGTCTCCCCCCTGCCTCGGTTCCATGTCTGCTACATTAACTTGTTTTTTTAAACTGTGATTTTAATAGACACTGCACCATGGTAGACACTGTTACTTCTTGTATTAGGCCCTCCCACAGGGAGGAGGGAGCAAGCTTGTTTTCTGCTTTCCTGGAGACTAGGACGCGGAACAATGGCTTCAAACTACAAGAAAGGAGATTCCATCTGAACATGAGGAAGAACTTCCTGACTGTGAGAGCCGTTCAGCAGTGGAACTCTCTGCCCCGGAGTGTGGTGGAGGCTCCTTCTTTGGAAGCTTTTAAACAGAGGCTGGATGGCCATCTGTCAGGGGTGATTTGAATGCAATATTCCTTCTTCTTGGCAGGGGGATGGACTGGATGGCCCATGAGGTCTCTTCCAACTCTTTGATTCTATGATTCTATGATTCAACTGCCATTCTCTCCCTCTCATCCAAATTCAAAAATTATGTTGGAAAAAAAGTATTTATGGCCTGACAACGTATGGAAAAGTAAAATTGGATGACATTAGGGATCCCACATCATGCCCAATACCGTCCCTCTAACATTTCCTCTCTAATCAATTCACTTGTCTCAATGCAATTTCATAATTACTTTTATGTCTAATTGGAAGTTATTCAAATGTACTTTATATCTATATCTGTATCTATATCTATATCTATATCTATCTACCTATCTATCTACCTACCTATCTATCTATCTATCTATCTATCTATCTATCTATCTATCTATCTATCTATCTATCTATCTATTATCCTGATCTACCTATCTATCTCTTGATCTATCTGTCTGTCTATCTGTTTTTGTGTCTCGTTATTTAAAATATTTCCGAAATTTTCCCTTTTAAAAGTTTGATATTTACGAAATTTCGTTAATATTAACGAATTGATTCGTTAAGATGGCGGGCGTGGTTGTGCAACGTGAAAATAATAGTTTTAACCTCGGAGAAGGAAAGTGGGGGGAAAGAGAGAGAGAGAGGGGTGAAACAAACCACTTTCTGCCTTCGTGAATGTAAGGGACAGTCAAAGCACTACTGAAAGATGGCCATCCATTCTTAATAATAATAAATAATAATAATAATAATAATAATAATAATAAATATAATTAATATAATAGTTTTAACCTGGAGAAGGAAAGGGGGAAAGAGAGAGAGAGGAGGGGTGAGATCTCTATTCTGGTTTGACAATGCTTCTTCTCAATAATAATAATAATAATAATAATAACAAACCACTTTCTGCCTCCGTGCATGTAAGGCACAGTCAAAGCACTACTGAAAGATGGCCATCCATTCTTAATAATAATAATAATAATAATAATAATAATAATAATAAATAAATATAATATAGTTTTAACCTGGAGAAGGAAAGAGGTTAGGCAGGCAACAGGCAGGTCTCTGAGTGCTGCACTGCTGTGTCTCTTTGCCCAATGCACGCAGGCCAGAGTGAGGAACGAGGTGAGGTGACGACAGGAGGAGAGGAGAATTTGATCCACTTAAGCAGAGGCCAGGGACCCGGAAGTGGGGTAAATGCCAACCGCTTGCAACCAGGGAGAGGGGAGGGAAACAACTATAAAACTTGCACCAGACACATACGGAAATAATAACGAAACAATAACAAAACAATTACGAAATAGCTTTAAAAATTCGTTTCGTTTTTTAGTTGCTCCTGGATGATTTGTTATCGCTTCGTTTACCCAAAAAATAACGAATTATTAACGAATTACGAAATTAACGAACGAAACCGCCCAGCCCTACTATCTATCTATCTATCTATCTATCTATCTATCTATCTATCTATCTATCTATCTATCTATGGAGAGAGAGAGAGAGAGAGAGCCTGAACTGGAAATGCCCAATCTTACATTAGTAAAAATATGTTTATGCTCACAAGAAGGTTGGAGGTTACATTACAAGCACACATCCAGGTACAGCCTGGAAAAGTTACTATGCAGGACTAAATTCCAATGCCAAATTCCAGTGCTGGTTGGGGGATTCCAGGAGTTATAACATAAACGAGCAAAATTTCCAGGTTCTGTGCTAGATGATGCTCATTGAAATATCACAAGATAATTTAGATTGCATTACCTTTTTTACTGTCTTCTCAACAAAATAGTTTCCTACTGGGATTAGGGCACCTCCAAGGATGGCCAGCACTGCCCCGATGATCGCTCCACTCAGCAGGCCACAATTTTGGCTACAGCCCATTCTTCTTTTTAAATGAGTTGGTCACAGAACGGCTTAGTCTCTCTTTTGCCTCTGGCACGTCTTGCAGCTGTTTGGTCCTGCCCCACACACACGCCACACTCGGCAACTGGCGGGTCTAATATAGCAGAGACCTAAACACATTTTCAAAAGAGAACAAAGTACGAAGTACAGCATGAGCAATAAAATGGGAGATCATGTAGCACTCACATAAACATGCATCTAGACATCCCTTCATATCCATAGCATCTGCATCCACAGATTTAATCAACCACTGCTCAGAAACATTTGGGCAGTGGTTGCTCAAAAAACAAACCTTATTTTTTTTCTGCTGTAATTTCTCACCATTTCACAGATCCTCAGACTCTCCCCTGTGCTCATTTGAACAGTTCTCCATTTTACTACAGCATTGTACACAACAGGACTTGAGCATATATGGATTTTGATATCTATTGGGGGTTCTGGACCCAAACTCCCAACGGATATCAAAGCCCCCCCCCTTCCCCACCACATATATATACACCAAACTCAGGGTTTGGTGTGCATATATTAAATGACCAAATTAAGCATTCTTTCTTCCTCTCCCGTCTTCTCCCTTTCTCTCTTTCTCTCTCTCTGTTGTGCATGAAACTGGTAAAATGCAAAAAAGCAGAGTATTTTAATCCTATTGCATAACCCCAAAGTAAATACTCCTGTGGAGTCAGGAACGTCAAAGGCTAACCCACAACTATTTAGTACTAAGCCATCTCCTTCTTCCCAATGAACCCAGTGCACATTTTGAATGATAAGCACTAGATTAAAAAGCGATCATTATGAGTGTGTATGGCACACGTGCATTTATACCACTTTACATGATCACTCAATGCTTGGCTTACAGCTCAGTGTGTGAGTCCATTTCACTCAACAGCAGCACAAAGAAGAAGAAGAAGAAGAAGAAGAAGAATCATAGAATCAAAGAGTTGGAAGAGACCTCATGGGCCATCCAGTCCAACCCCCTGCCAAGAAGCAGGAATATTGCATTCAAATCACCCCTGACAGATGGCCATCCAGCCTCTGTTTAAAAGCTTCCAAAGAAGGAGCCTCCACCACACTCCGGGGCAGAGAGTTCCACTGCTGAACGGCTCTCACAGTCAGGAAGTTCTTCCTCATCTTCAGATGGAATCTCCTTTCTTGTAGTTTGAAGCCATTGTCCAAACTACAGGGCAGCAGAAAACAAGCTTGCTCCCTCCTCCCTATAACTTCCTCTCACATACTTATACATGGCTAGAAGCAGGAATATTGCATTCAGATCACCCCTGACAGATGGCCATCCAGCCTCTGTTTAAAAGCTTCCAAAGAAGGAGCCTCCACCACACTCTGGGGCAGAGAGTTCCACTGCTGAACGGCTCTCACAGTCAGGAAGTTCTTCCTCATGTTCAGATGGAATCTCCTTCTTGTAGTTTGAAGCCATTGTTTCGTGTCCGATTCTCCAGGGAAGCAGAAAATAAGCTTGCTCCCTCCTCCCTGTGGCTTCCTCTCACATATTTATACATGGCTATCATATCCCTCTCAGCCTTCTCTTCTTCAGGCTAAACATGCCCAGCTCCTTAAGCCGCTCCTCATAGGGCTTGTTCTCCAGACCCTTGATCATTTTAGTCGCCCTCCTCTGGACACATTCCAGTTTGTCAATATCTCTCTTGAATTGTGGTGCCCAGAATTGGAACACAATATTCCAGAAGAAGAAGAAGAAGAAGAAGAAGAAGAAGAAGAAGAAGAAGAAGAAGAAGAAGAAGAAGAAGAAGAAGTAGTAGTAGTAGTAGTAGTGGAGGAAGAGGAAGAACTTTATTTTTCTACCCTGCCTCCATCTCCCCGAAGTGACTTGGGGCGGATTACATGGGGTCCAAGCCCAGGCAGAATACAATTAAAATAAAGCAATAATAATTAAAACAGCATAAAAACAGCATAAAACAACATAACAAAGTTAGCAACAACAATAACAGCAGACTAATTTTGGAGAGGGGGAGGAAAACCACTACATGAACTAGTTAAAGGATAAAGTTGTTTAGTAAGGTAGATGACAATGTATTAAGGCATAGTTAAAATCATGGAAACAGAGCAAATTAACAGGATCAGTTAATACAGTGGTTCTCAACCTGGGGTCCCCAGATGTTTTTAGCCTTCAACTCCCAGAAATCCTAACAGCTGGTAAACTGGCTGGGATTTCTGGGAGTTCTAGGCCAAAAACATCTGGGGACCCCAGGTTGAGAACCACTGAGTTAATCTGTATATATAAAAATGTTATGTGCATAATGAGTACCTTAAAAACAAAAGAACTAATGAACGAAATCACACCAAATTTGGCAACAAAACATCTCACTACACAAGGAGTGACCAGCACTCAAAAAATTATGATTTTGTCATTTGGGAGTTGTAGTTGCTGGGATTTATAGTTCACCTATAATCAAAGAGCATTCTGAACTCCACTAACGATGGAATTGAACCAAACTTGGGACACAGGCCTCCCATGACCAACAGAAAATACTAGCAGCATTTGGTGGGCATTGACCTTGAGTTTGAGAGTTGTAATTCACCTACATCCAGAGAGCACTGTGGCCTCAAATAATGATAGATCTGGACCAAACTTGGCATGAATATTCCATATGACCAAATATGAACACAGATGGAATTTGGGGGAAATAGACCTTGGCATTTAGGAGTTGTAGTTACTGGGATTTATAGTTCACCTACAATCAAAGACTATTCTGAATGAACCCCACAAACGACAGAACTTCCCACACAGAACCCCCATGACCAACAGAAAATACTTAAGGCCATCCAGTTCAACTCCCTTCACTAGAGCAAGAAAACATAATCAAAGCCCTCCTGACAGAGAGCCATCCAGCCATAGATATAGATAGATAGATATGATTCACACACACACAGATAAATTATTATAGATTTGAAAGGGACTCCTAAAGATGGACAATTATATGTTGCATGTTCCAGAGTAGGCAAACCAGACAATTTTTACATCAACACTGTCAAAGAAACGTCAAGAAATACTGTTTACCCACAAGCATAAATTCATTACATATATTAGAAACCAGCACTTTTGATCACTTTATTTTCCATATCACCAGACTGGACCACAGCAACGCGTGGCAAGGGACCGCTAGTATAATATAAGACATCAGATTGAATGAAAATTCAAGTCATAATACAGGCCATTTGTCATAGAAATGGAGTTCTGTTTGTACTACATTGTGCATTGGTTATCTATTTGTCCACACATTCCATTGGATGTTGCTGCCAGCTTCATCAGCTGCCAAACAGACATGTATTGGAGTCATACTGTACTCGTAGAATATTGGCACTCAACACTTGCAGGCGCCAGATAAGAGCCTAGAAGTGACTAGTTATAAATAACTAGCTAGTGTTATTTCCGTTCCCTCTGTTTTCCACACACGCTGTAATTTTAAAAAGAGGCAACCCTGGGTTCTTTACAGTATAACTGTGGCTTTTTAAAAGACATGGGGTGTGTGGCTTCACAAAATAGTGAAAGAGAAACAGCACATAGTTCCAGTGCTGTCTGATATACTTCTGCTGTGACTAATGCAGTGACAATTAAATGGAAAGACTGAGCGGGTGCTTTATACAACAAGCCAATGGATCATAGGATTCAAATGTGTACTCCTTCAAAGAGGAACCAAAATGATTTCAGTTACTCTACAGAAAAAGGAAAGTAAAAGTGTTTGTTTGTTTGTTTCTTTGTTTGTTTGTCGTGTCAGGACAACCAGTCAAATTATATTAGATTTCTAACAGAACAAATCAAACAAACAGACAAAATACAAAATTTGTTAGTTTGGTAGTTGCCTTTGACCAGTATCTGGCCACTTGGAGTGCTTCTGGTGTTGCCGCAAGAAGGTCCTCCATTGTGCATGTGGCAGGGCTCAGGTTGCATTGCAGCAGGTGGTCAGTGGATTGCTCTTCTCCGCACTCGCATGTTGTGGATTCCACTTCGAAGCCCCATTTCTGAAGGTTGGCTCTGCATCTTGTGGTGCCAGAGCGCAGTCTGTTCAGTGCCTTCCAAGTCACCCAGTTTTCTGTGTGCCCAGGGGGGAGTCTGTCATTGGGTATCAGCCATTGATTGTGGCTCTGGGTTTGAGCCTAGCATCGGGATTGTGGTGCAGCAGGCTGAGTGTCAGGTGCATTAAGATCACTCTGACCAAAAAAGGTCATGAGTTCGAAGCCAGCCCGGGTTGGAGTGGGTTTCCAACCAATTGTGTGTAGCCTGTTGTCGACCTTTGCAACCCGAAAGACAGTTGCATCTGTCAAGTAGGAAAATAGGTACCACCTTAAAGTGTGGGGAGGCTAAATTAACTGATTTATGAGGCCATAAAGAAGACTCCAGCAAAGCATTCCAGCGGGGAAGCATGCGGGGAATGCGGAAGTGCTTCATCAGCATCGCAGATGGACGATGAAAGCGACAGCTCCCCTGGCGGCCAGAAAAAGTTAAATAGCCTCTGTGTATGTCTGTATATGTTGTATGTCAAAATTGGCATTGAATGTTTGCCATATATGTGTACACTGTAATCCGCCCTGAGTCCCCTGCGGGGTGAGAAGGGCGGAATATAAAAGCTGTAATAATAAAAATAAATAAATTTTGGACTCTCGCTTGCTGAGGTGTTCCAGCGAGTGTCTCTGTAGATCTTAGAAAACTATTTCTTGATTTAAGTCGTTGACGTGCTGGCTGATACCCAAACAAGGGATGAGCGGGAGATGTCACTGCCTTGGTCCTTTCACTATGAGCCGTCGCAAACTAGGTTCCTGCGGAAGAAAACCTTGCTAGTATGTCCCTGACGTCATGAGACTCCGCCTCTCGCCCCGCCCCTTTCTCCGCCCCTTTCTCTTTGCCAGCGTGGTTTTTCCTTTGCTAAGGGAGCATTGCCCGCATTTTCTCTCAGTTGGCAGAATTCAACTGAGAGAAAATGCGGGCAATGCTCCCCTAGCAAAGGAAAAACCACGCTGGCAAAGAGAAAGGGGCGGAGAAAGGGGCGGGGCGAGAGGCACAGGCTCATGACATCAGGGACATGCTAGCAAGGTTTTCTCCCGCAGGAACCTAGTTTGCGACGGCTCTATTGGCTGCTACTAATGGGAAGACCAAGAGGGTGCTTTATACAACAAGCCAATGGATCATAGGATTCAAATGTGTACTCCTTCAAAGAGGAACCGAAATGATTTCAATTACTCTACAGAAAGATGAAAGTAAAAGCGTTGATTTAAAACAAACAAAGCTGGACCTGTATCAGCAATCATATCTTATCATCATTAGAACCGATTGCCAACATAACCTTCCAAACTCTGAGCATCGGTATGGGTATATGGGAATTAAACAAAGCCTTTCCTTAATTAAGACTTCAGCTTCTGGGAACACACACTCAGGTTGACAGAGAATGCAATGTTTATTTCCAAGGTCACAGACAAGAATTATTTACTATCATAGAAAGTTGCTTATAGGAAAGCTTAGGTTA